GGTCGGCCATGTGGGAGTCCAGCGCCTTTAACCACCACACCACCTGCTGACCCCACACCCAGTGTGTTTTTTGAGGCACCGTCTGGGATTCAAACCATGCAATTGGCCACGTGGGATCCAGCTGCCTTAACTCCCACGCCATCTGCTGGCCCAGATACACATTCCTCCCAAGTGCGTGTGGAACACACTCCAGGATAAGTCAAAGGCTAGGCCACAAAACAAGTCCTAATGACTTGAAGACTGAACTCACAGAAAGCCAGCTTTCCAACCGCAGGGGAATGGAATGGGAAGTGAACAGCAGGAGGAACACTGGAATACTCACAGACACACAGAGATTAAACAGCGTACTCTTAAACAGCGGTGGGTCTGAGGAGCGATCATAACGGGAATCGCAAGATACCTTGAGACAATGGAAAGAAAACGTCACACGTAGGCATTTGGTGAATCAAACGCCATGCTGAGAAGTGCACAGCTGTGAACACCTGCATTAAAAAGAAGCAGTCTCTCAGATCAACAACCTGACAGTGCAAATCAGACACTAGAAAACGAGCAAGCGAAACCCCAAAGCCAGCGGAACGGAGAGAAACGATTGGAGCAGAGATAAATGGAATAGAGAAGAGAGAACCGGTCGTGAACGTCGGTGAGACCGAAAGCTGGAGCCCCGGAAAGACGGACATGGGCTACAGCACCCAGCGAGGGGGACGGCGCAGTGACACGGCTACAGCACCCAGCGAGGGGGACTGAGCACGGGGGTGACACAGCTACAGCACCCAGCGAGGGGGACTGAGCACGGAGGTGACACAGCTACAGCACCCAGCGAGGCGGGACGGCACACGGAGGTGACACGGCTACAACACCCAGCAAGGGGGACTGAGCACGGAGGTGACACGGGCTACAGCTCCCAGCGAGACGGGACGGCGCACAGAGGTGAGGCCCCGTAGTTTAGTGGTTAAGGAGTTAGATCCCACAGGACTGACCACATAATCTGAATCCTGGACCTGGTGGTTTGAAAAACATGCCGTGTGCAGGTGTGGTGTACCCCAAATCCAGCAGGGCAGAGAAATGGGGGGCAAGGGCTTGGGGCATGACCACACCCAGTTGAGGGTCACTTTTCCCCCCTCTCTCTGCCTCTGGTGAGCTCAGGAACCCTTTGGCAATGAACAAAATGATGATGCCTGGTGCAATAAACGTTTCAGACAGGCCAGCTTACAGAGGGCAGAAGTAGAGGCTGGAGAAAGCAGGCGGCGCAGTAGTGAAGCCGCTGGACTCCCGCCTGGCCGACTGTGATTCGAGTCCTGGACCCAGTGGCTTGAAACTCAAGCTGGACACATGTGCATGCCCAAAATCCCAAGAGGAGAATGAAAGAGAAGGGATTGCGGTGTGGCCACCCTCCTTGGGGAGTCATTTCTCACTCTGTCTCTCTGTCTTTCTGGCCACTGCACATACCCTATAGCAAAAATCTTGGGGGAGGGTAGACTAGAGGTCAGCAGGGCTGAGGGCAGAGGACGCGTGCTGGGGAGTGGCCGAGTTGTTTCTGCCACCCCATCCTACCCTACACAGGTCCCACCTCTGCGGAAGGCCTCTGGAGGTGCAGCCAGAGGCTAAGCACACACCTGGACCCCCGGCCCGGCCTCTAATGCGGGCTGTGACTTCCTGAATGGCGGGCAGGCCCAACTGCGCTTTCTCCCAACCAGAGATCAGTGTTAGCCCCATGGGTAGGGAGGGTCCGGGGTCCAGGGGGGTCTCTCACAGGGCTGGGAGGCCCCTGGGGACAGTCTGTGGGCTCCGTGTGGCAGAGGAAGGGACACGTACTGTGTCCTTGGGCCTCCACGGCCTGAGAGTGCAGGGACAGTCACCAGGGGAGGCCCACACTGCAGGGAGGAGGCCTGTCCTCCCTTGGTCTTTGATGGAGTCCCCTGCTGACACTGGAGCCGTCCGGCCCCACCGCGGCCCGGGTGCGCCTTGTTTTGTCTGACGTGTGCAGCTGCAGGGCTGGCCTCCGATCCGCAGGCTTGGGGGAGAGAGCGGCTGACCAGTCCCGTGGTGCAGCACATGTGTGTGCACACACACCCGCACACATGCACAGGCACACGTGCAAAGGCACACACCCCGCACACCCTGAACTTCATTGCTCTAGAATCTTCCATCGTCTCTGAGCTCCTACTCCACTCCCCTGTCCCACCGTGGGCTTCGAAGGGGAGTGAGGAGCTGGGACGAGGCCCGGACTCTGTTCCCTGCTGGCTCTGGGCCGCGAGTGTGAGCCCTGACTCCGAGTGACCGAGCGCGTCCTCTCAGGGCCTCGGTCTCCGCAAGCAAGGACACTGGGAGTGGCACAGTGCCCGCTGCACCAAGGCCGCTAGGAGGTCGGCAGCCCAGGCTCAGGGCAGGGCCCCACCTGAGCCCCACGGACGTGGGGTGCCCTTCACCCTGCTGAGTGCCGGAGCATGGACTCGGCCCGCAGCTCCTGCCCGGCGGCAGCCGGGGGCCTCTACTCTCCCTTTGACGCTCTGGCCGTC